GCCACCCTTTCCTTCTTCTCTAACAGAAGTCTCCAGAAGCAGGAAGGGGATTTAGGTCCTAAGCTGACCCTTCTCAATTCCAGCATCTCCAATATCTATAAAAGGAGTCCAGAAATTCTTTTTGTAAAACTAACTAGGCTGCCATGGAAGGAATCTTGGGAAAAAAAAATTCTGAATAAGCTATAATTTAATGAGTGATGACAGCATCAAGATGTTTTCAGGAAGGGCATTTGGCATTGAAAATCAGAGTTGCGTGGAAGGACCTCTCAGTCATCAGGGAACCGTGAGCCCTCTTCGTGATGTCCACAGAGTGGTAATACCGAAATGCTCCCTTGTGCAGTGCGCTTGACCTTGCTCTCCCGATTCTCTCCGATGTAGATTTATGCATTAGCTTCTTAATGTCACTGTTGTTGCTCTGTGAATTTAGATTAGAGGAAGATCCGGGGAAAAAATATCCCTGACAAGGTGGACAAAAAACTTAATCAGTGGACCTTCTAGAGTGGAAAAAGAGCAGAAATGGTTTATAGACCTGTTTTGGGTAAGCTGTAACATTCCATTATCACATAGAGATTTCAATTCTTATGTGCTTGATACTCATTTTTGCATAAATGTAATGGAAATGGTTATAACTATGAAAGAGCTTTAAAATTCTAAGTAATCACTGAAAATGGACTTAAAACATTAAAGTGATTAAAAGAAGTTTTGAATAAATATGCTTCATGTAATGCTTTATTCCATAGTATTGTCAACAATACTAGAAATGTGACCTCTGTTTCCATCGGAATAAATGATTAGTTGGGGATGCTGCTGTGGCCGGACAATTTCCCCTGTTTATAGATGGAATACCGGGGATCCTCACACGTCACTGAGTAAGCTGTGATATGTACAGCATAAGGCTTTTCTTTTATCTGCATCTGTGATGTTTTATGAACACTATACAGTTGGTTGTATATATTTGTTTTAGTTCATTTTATACTTTTCCACGTTATATTTCAAATGGGCTATTGGAATGCAGCTCATGCATAGGATAAAAATATGCCATGATCCTAAGTATACTTTTTGAAAAAAATAAACTCCGTTTGGCAAGTATAGAATCATAGATGGTGTGGATGCCTAAAGCAGGCCCTAACATAGAAGCCTTGCGGTAGCCTTGCCACAGAATTCAGATGTCACGTTATCTCTATTCCAGTATAGTCTGATACTGCAGAATAACTGAGGGAAATGCTCATTTTATATTATCTGATTACCTATTTTATTTTTCTCTTCCTCTTTGTAAAGTTTTCTAGGCCCTTGGCGTTAGGCAGCATTCTTAGGCATCGTGTGTGGTTCCGAGCAAGTGGCCGTGTTGGGATGGGTGCTCTTGTGTTGTGGGCAGGTGGCCGGAACGGCCATTTGGTGGGTGACCTGGCACCCCCCTTCCCCTCCCCGCCAACCCCTAACGCATGTGTGTCTTTGCTGCAATAAGCACTGTACCCAGTGCTGGGTTGAGAACGGAAGAAATGAAACATATAGCAATGTTCCTTCTCTTATGATAATAGCTGCTGCTGCTTCTTTCAAATGATCAGATTTACATTCTGTTAGTGGGTCCTTTAAAAATGTAATTGAGTGAGAAGGACTTTTAAAGATTTTTCTATGGCCTGGTACACACCAGAAGACTGGAAATTACTAATTCACCAAAACGAAAACGTGGGCATCTTCTAAGGAACGATTCCCTTGGAAAATTCACAGAAGTAGGCTTAGGAAAGGGAAAATTGTGCCTGGTCTTGTGACCTCTGGACCTCCTGAGTGACTAGACTCCAGTGTCAGAAGTTATTTTCCTTCCATTCTGAACACCAACTGTGGGGACACTTTTGGGATAGGGGTGTGTTTCATCAGCAGCATCCTTGGTGGGGAGGATGCTGTTAGTGAAAACTCAGAGCTCTCTTTGAGCCTGAGTGACTTATAAGGACCTGACGTGCTTCTTCATTTGGAAAATAGTGTAACAGAATTGGTCTTGCAGTAAATAGAGCCCTTTTACCAAGACTCATAACCAAATATTTTCACAAAGATGTTATGCCCCCATGCATGAACATACCTTTTGCAATGTTTATTCTAATGGAGTTTATGTATGAATGTTCTTTTTAAAAAATGCTGTTTTAAATCTTCATTTGCAAAAGAAAAGAAAACATTTTGAATGTTTCAAATGGACAGTGTCTGGCTTTTGTATACAAGTGTCATAAAAAGTGTCTCTAATTGTACTGTTTGTTAATAAATCTACTTAGAAAACATGCTTTCAGGAAGTATCCTAACACAGGTGCAAGTGTGAGCTGTGATGACTTTATAAATTCATTTTTATTTGGTATTGGTACAGCCAATTTTCCTGCCTTTCTTGTATTCCTGTGGCCCTGATATTTGCTCAAGGTTGGTCACTGACTGTGGATTTACTGCAGAGGAAATAAAAACCACATCCCTGCTGGGGTAATATACGGTCTGCAATTCTTGCATATGCCAAAGTGTGTGCTGCACATCATAGCATGATTAGCGAATGTTAATTCACAAAATAGAATGTTATTTCTGAATCATATAGCTCTTTTCTTCTGGTAAATAAATCGGCTGCACACTTAGCCTGTGCCAAATGTGCCCGTGGTAGAGTTTTTCTAGATAAAAGGAGCTAGATCAGAGTGGAAAGCATCTGCTGTGATCTTTAGGTGACACTGCACCAAGGAAACCGCCTTGCTTAGTAATCAAGTCAGATTTTACTTGCTGATGAAAATGCTCCAGAAGAATGAGTCCTCCAGCGGTGGACTTTGTCAGTGTGCCACACTGCTACAGACGGCGTGGGATGGAGAAGTTTCCTACCCACTTCTTGCTTTTTTGTTCTTGCTTTCTTCTGTGAAAGGCAAAAAACAAGCACTTTTATTTGATGGTGTGTCTTTGGAGTTGTAATCGAGGATTGTGTGTCTCAGTTATGCCGTGCCTGCAATGGTATCCCAGGGTACCTCAAGGTGAGTGGTGTTGCAAGGCGTGCTCATTGCTACTGTTTGACACTGGAGTCAGCCTGATGCTGGTCTGTGAGCTGTGATGCCATGTATACCACACCTCAGATCTCCATGGCAATGGACACCTTGGCAACCTCGTAGGACGCGTGGGACTCTTCCAACTTCCTAAGCCCTTTCCAAGATAGCATGGTTTTCGCACACTTTGATTCCCTTCCGATTTACACTCTGCCCGAGTTGGGGAGGGTCTGAGACCGAAAGAGCAGATGCAGAGGCCCTGGGAGTTCTCCTTGGAGGGCACTGGCACACTTTCAGAGTGACTGGTAGGCACCTACATGGCAGAATGCCATATCTAGTTGTTTATAAGAGAGGACCTCTGCGCAGCACCAGTAGGTGGCTCACAAGTAATTAGAGACCATGACATGGAGGAGCCCCTCACCTGCTCTGGGATGGTGCATTGGGTCTTGCTCCTACTCTGCACACCTGAATTGCACTCACCCCCTTCTGCTCCCTGAGGAACTTGGGGGGGTAGTAGGAGCCTTCTGTCTCAGCCTACAGTGGTTCCCTCATCCTTGCAAGTAGACTCTGTCATTGCAGATATCAGCAAAGGGGGTACTGGCCTCTCCTCTCCTAGGCTTCCAGGAAGACCTCTCCCTTGGGAGAGGGGGTTGGTATTGGGCTGGTCTCCATTGGAGAGGCAGGCGCTCAGCCCGATTGGGGCACCGTTCTTCCACTCAGGGGAGGGAAGAAGAAATGAAGGAGGTGGCCAATCCCCCGGGGCTGGGGACCTGCCTGACAGATGGTCTAGAGAGAAACTGTCTCCAGAGGGCCATCACAGGGTTTGCCATGGAAACACTGGATGAGTTTACTTGTCTCTCTGAGGTTCTTTAAAAATTAGACATCAGTTAGCCAGATCCTGCTGTGAGCCTGTACAGGGCTCTGTGCCCTTAAAGAGTCATCCTGTCCTCCTGGCAGCTGAAGCCCAGGCCAGGGCGCATCGTCTGGCAAGCTGGGCCCTCTCGAGCCAGGCCAGGCCCGTGGGCAGTGCCCAGGCCTTACAGTGATCTTCTCTCCTGAAGATCCAGTGACGTTCTTTTCAGCCCAATCATCTTTTCTTTATTACTTTTTTCTAAGATTACTTCTGTTTTCCCAAATTATTGAGACCACAAAATAAGTTTAATAGCCACATAAAACATTACTTTTGATTTTTTTATTTAAAAATTAATAAAGAACTTAGTGACAAGTATAGTAATTTAATTTAATCTCTACACATAATGCCATGTGTACATCTACATATGAGGGAACACTATACTTTTTACCTTGGTTTTGTATCAAAGTTTTTACTTAAATCTTTCTAAGAGAAGAATCATCATCTGTTAGCGACACATTGCAATTAAACCATGAAATGATTTTGAAAATATTTTTTCTATTCTGAAGATAGTTTTGTTTTTAAATAGGAATTCGTTTATCTTCAGTTTCCTTTTTGACTCCAAAAATTTTAATTATTAGTATTATTATTTTTTGGTCTAGACTGCTTTCAAACAGTGATGTTGTTTTCTTTACTAGGATGTCCTCTTGTTCAGATTTATGGTGCTAATTAGAAAGCTGCTAACACCCTTATTTCAATTCAGTGAGAGAGTTGGGATTCTTAAAACACAAGGAGAGATAACTTGTTGCAAACATTTTTATAACTTTAGTTAAAAACAGTATAAAATACATGAAACACATTTTTTAAATTTTATGTCTACATGAAACAATTGCACTTCCTTCATGGTACAGGATCAACTTGCTCATACTTTTTGCACAAAAATATTTCTCAGTTCTGTTGACTGATATTCAAGGCTTTGCATCCTCATATAGTGTTTCCACAAAAGATGTGTTTTTCTTTGAATTAAAGCATACATCTGCAGGATAGTTTGAGTAACCCCCAAAGAATGCTTACACGATAGACTCTTTTCATTTTTTTCAAGTCCAATTCTGGTCTTGTTTTTAAATAGGAATTCGTTTATCTTCAGTTTCCTGATCGCTGATCACCAGGACCTTGTAGAATCCAAACACTTAGAACTAAAATAGATTTGCTGTTGAGTTGGGGGGAAAATGCATGGCAAGAAATAGCTCCCATCTGAAGCGTACAGGTAGAGATTCTTTCACCAAGGGTAGCCACTTATTTTTGGCGTCTAATCAATGAGGTGTGCATGTCAGCACTAGATTAGATATGAAACTGTTGGACAGAAACTTGAGGACTAGGTTTTCTCATATGTTCACAAACTATTCAAAATTTAAGTTGTACAAAAAAAGGCAAAATAAAATCCCTACTTCCTAATGTGAACAGCAAAAAATTGATAGACAAAGTCTTTAATAGACTAGGGGCTTTTGATTTCTATAAAAAGATACTTGCAAAGGTGCAGAGGAATGAGTGAAAAAATAAAGGAACTAAGATTTATATTGCAATGTGTAATCAAAAGAGAACTCTAAGTGTCACTGTTTATTTAAAAAATACCTAAAAACATTTGATTCACAGCTTTCCCCTAGGTATGTCATTTAGTACAACTTACTAACAGGTTAAATGTGGTTGACCTTAAGTTTGTTTGTTGGTAGCAGCTAAACTAAACACGCTGTTTCTCTTTTGAGATGGCCAGGTCTTCCACAGTTGTTACAAAGCATAACGAATAGTATAAAATGTCTGGCTGCGCTTTTGGTGATGAACAATGTCTCAAAGATTGATCCACAGAAACACTTTCCGGTGGCAGAGAACCCCTGTGATTTATTGGTGACTGTATTATCCATTGTGTATCTCTACGTGTGTTTTCAAATTCTTGCCAGAATGTATCATTTGGCCTTTGGGTACCAAAAGATTAAAAATGAGATCTAAGAAAGCTTAGTGTCCAATAGCTTTGACCCTGTCAACTTGCAGTGATTAAAGGCTTGTCCGGACTTTGGGGGACTCCTGGCTGCTGGCCATTTGGAAAATGAGCAGTAAACATGTTGCAGGTCTGGAGATGAAGAGAATGCTAAATTTGAGGTGTCAGTGTGACACTGAGATGTGGTCACTTGGCTTAGCGCTATAGCACATGAAGGCAAATATACATATAGTCACATTTTAGAGATTATTCATGGTCTCCGACCACTTGAAAAAATTGTGCTTTCTCTGGAATTTGATGTGCTGAAAATTGCACTCGCCCCCTGCTTATTTGCAAAATTAAACATAAAAATGAAGTCCTTTGCAAACATAAGGCTTGCTTTTTCTTCTCATTATTTAAAAAAAAAAATAAAGGCTTGAAAATAATTATGAGTTTTAGCTGTGTACAGAGTGACAGCCTGCTATTTTGCAGGTTGATAATGTAATACTTGCCGATCTGGGGTGGGGGCATGGAATTTTTACTTACCATCTTTGACTATGTAAGTTTTGTTTCAGATTTTACATCCCACATCTGTGAACTGCAAAGAACAGCCGGCAAGGTGCGACATTTAATACCTTGCTTCTGTTAATTATCTGTTAGTACAAAGGCCTTTTTGGTAAGCAGGGTGAGAACTGGGTGGCGCCCGAGTCAGCCACAGTTCACTCGATCCTATTCATTTTGGAAAAGGATTTACTTAACTCCAGTGAGTTTTAAAGACGGCCTTTAGACTCCAAACACCATGAGTTTTAAAGGAACCAGAGTTTCCATCTTCCGTGCTTTTTAGATTCAGTTTTGGATTTTTGCTTGGGAGTGGAGGAGTAAGTCTCCTGCGAGTAAGGCGAAGGTGCAACCTGAGTTTCCTCAAAAGGATGGAGTTTCCTCAGAACTGGCTGGAGTTTGTCTTCTTGCTGCTTAAAATCTAGCTCCACACTGGAAAGAAAAGAGAGGGAAGAATTTAGTGCTTGATCGTTCATATATAAAGAGCCCCCTTAATGACAGCAAAATTTAGTGACATCCTACCAGTGTAATGATAATTCATCTTATGTTTATAATTTAATTTTATGGCTCAATTTTAAGCAATTGGCTATAATAAGTTTTAGCTCTATGTCACTGTGAACTGTTTCTAATAGATTCATTTTCTTTGAAAAATTACTTATCTGCTTTCATTGCAAACCTCTGAAGTTTATGTACACAGTGGTGTCAACGTATACAATGTGTTTGTTGAAATGAAGAATGTGGCATCTCAATAACCCTTTTGCTTGTCCATAGACTGCACACACGTGCTTCATGGAATAAAGAGAAAAACAAAAGGATGACTGTTGAGGGGTCATCTTAGGAGATATCACCAGGTGTATGAAAGCTCTGTGCCTGTGCAACTTTTCACACCATCAGAGAAATCCATTTATCTCACCTGAAGCAGTTGTGAAATGAAATGACCTTGGCTTATGTTCTTGCAAAATCTCATCCACCTGAAAAACTAGGAAGAGCCAAAATATCCAGTGTTGGGGAGAATAGTGTGTTTATTGAGTCAGCACCATGGAACACTACTCAGTCGTTATCAAAGACAATTTTTCAGGCAAAAACAAAGCATACCATGAAAATAACCCCAAAGTATATTACACTGCTGAAACCAGAGTGTGCAAATATGTAGCCATGTGGAAGGACACTGGCCAGTAGTGATAATATTGGTGTTAGAAGGACGGGATTAAAGATGATTTTAAAAATACATATTGTTTCTTATGAAATTTCTCCAAAGAATGCTTCAACTTGCCTAGGGTCCTCCATTTTCTTCATGGCTTTGGAAAGAACCATTGTTGATGCCCTATCCCTAATTAACTCTTAACGGGTTTGGCATTTGACACAGGACCCCCTGCTCCACTGTCACTTTTCTGTGATGATCCCAGCAGTGATGAGCCTTGCCCCCTTTCTGCTTAGGCTCCCTGGGATCCCTATTATTTGAACCTGGGCGCTGCATTGTGCCAGGCCTCCGGAGAATTCCACTCCGTGCTCCTGCCATGTCTGGTCTGGATGCCAGACTAAATGTCAGTAGATTTCAGTAAAGGCTTGGCGATGATGATAATACATGAGCTCATAACATTTTATATTCAGTGGAACCGTAAACCATTTATAAACCTGAAATCCTATTGATTTAGAGAACCATTAATCCTAGCCAAATTTTGACATTTTGGAAAGACAAAACAGTGAAGCTCTATTATCTGGAGTTTTACAAACAAGTTCAAGACCTGTCTAATGGACCATTTTATGTTTTAAATCCACTATTCCATTTTTCTTATTGTCAGACTATAATATTACTGAAAAAATTAAAAATATTGTCAGAGAAGTTTATGGCTAGTTACCCCCTGCTCCCAAAACAAGAATTACTTTTTCCCCATTTCTAAGGGTCTCTGAGTTATGCTGCAGTTTATAAGAAGTAGAATAAAACTTCATGAACTCATGTCTTGTTCATCTAGAACATGTGACAGTGGAGGTATAGTTCCTCTTAAGGACAGTTGTGAAAAGTGCAAATCTAAAGATGTGGTGCCTTTACGAAGCACGAGCCTCAATTATGTGGTAGAGTAGAAAGGACATGGATTTCCGTCCTGCCTTTTCCACTTGATGTTGGGGGTGGTGAATGGGGACTCAGGCAAGTCCCTTATCTTCTTTAAGGCTCAGTTTCCTTCACTTCAAGGCAGATAATAATTACTTCCGTGACTATGTCACTTATGGTAAGGATCCTCCCCCCAAAAAAGTAAGTGAAAAAGTTTCCTAAACTGTAAGATGCAATTCAAATATTTTTCCTTATTATCTGTCAATTACTAATTTTATGAGAAGAACTGACAGTGATAAAGATACCTATTAGAGAATTCTTCAACTTGAACATTTAACAAGGAAAACAAGAATCTACTATAGTATCCAATATGTTATGCTAGGTACCAGAGTAATTTTATCAAGGTGTTTGGTTAATATTGAAAGCGTGCTGTCCAGATCATAGCCATTTCAACAGTCTCAGATAGGTTTTGAGTTATTAGATCGGAGAGGGGGTGCTAGCATTTCCTAGGTGAACAGTACAATTCTGGGTACCTGTAATTATTGAATTCCCACTAAGCAACTACATTGGGAATCCTGTTATTAACCAATTTATCACACCGCAGAACCATGTAATCACAGAGTAATCTAATCTGAGTTCTTGTTAACAAAATGAGTCGACTTTATCTGTTGGGTTGATTCCTCTTTGTGCTCCCCCTCTGCTGGGAAGGTGCAACTAGGAGTAGGTTTCTGCGTGGAGGGAGCGTGTGTGGCCGTGAATGCCTGCTGGGGGAAGCTTGCTCTTGGCCAGGCAGGGTGACCCTGAGCCAGGCGCCTCCCTCCTCCCATAACATGAAAGTTACGACTTGTGGGATGCTGCATGTGCACCAGTGGGAAAACTGTGGAGGGGTGTGCCCTGGCCGTGAGGTGGGAAGAATGTGCACTGCTCTGTGCACAGTGCTTTCGACTGGGGGGCTTTTCTAGTTGGGGAAGGAACACGCTAAGTCACCAGGTTGAATCTGAGGCAGACAGCTGGCGGGAGAGGGCAGTATCCGAAGGTTAATGGTCTGGACAACTCGGGCTGACACAGAGCGAAGCTTGCTTCAGTCTTAACAGCCAAATGGCCAGGAGAAAGCAGCACCTGCTGTCCTGCTTAGAGGAGATGACTTGGACCAAAGCCACCGGTGGACATTCTAGGGCACTTTGACTCCTGTGCACAGATGCCCCTCCCTGTTTAACATAGCGCATGGTTCACATAGGGCCTGGGAGGCTGCCGTGGAGAGGCGATGGCCCTCGCTTTGGGCTTCAACACTGTTGTCCGAGTGACACTGGGCGTGCGGACGGGGCCCTGCGTGCTGCCTGGCAGACAGTGTGGTGTGGGTGGGGTCGCCATTGCAGAAGACATTGCTACTGTCCTTGTGGCTGTTCCTTTCTCCCCTGCCTGAAACACCTATCTCGGCTTGTGGCATGGCTGGCCACTCCTTGTCCCTCTGTCCCCCAGGTACACATTACCTCCTCATTCTCTGGCCACCTTCCGAAAGATCCCCCATCACCACTCCTTTCTTTTCTCCTTCTCTGCACTCGCCATGAATAATTATGTATTTGTTTCTGTATTATTTGCCTCCATCCACCAAATGCAGGGGCTATGACCAGGGAGAACGTCCTGTCTCCGTTCCCAGCACCTACAGCAGGGCCTCAATCAGGGCTGTTGCCTGCCTAATATTTACTGAATTAATGAATGAGCATGGAGCCTTAAGAGACAAATTCCATCTCGGGTTTGGTCCCAGTCACCCTGGACTGCTCTGCTCTGGTCAGTAACCTTGTGGTGCCCCTCTCTCTCCTCCCACCCTGAGCCCCCTCCCCGCTCTCTTCTCCTACCCTGAGCCCCCTCCCTGCTCTCTCCGCCCACACTGAGCCTCCTCCCCTCTCTCTCCTATGAGCCCCCTCCTTGCTGCAGACAAACAGACCTTCTCCCCAAGCCGACCTTGTTGGTGGAATCTGTGACCTGGCTCCATTCTATCAGAACTTAATCAAAGAAGATTCTGAAACATTTTCTGCAAAGCACTCATCCGACATTTTCAGAGCTTTGCTCCCTCCTGCACTCCCTACTTCCCTTTTTCCGGAAGAGTCCGCAGTAAGATCTTGGAAAAGATGGGTGGGGTCAGCAGGGTGCGTTTGTGGGTGGCCAGCTGCTTCTGTGCTCTGCTAAGGGGAACTTGGGAGTGTCATTTTATTCCCTTTTCACTTTTCCTGTGGACTGAGGCCGGGGCCTGAGCAGGAGGCCCTGCTGTTGTTTTCTGCATGACGTTGCTTTGAAGTGCCGTCAAAGGCAACACGCCTCCCTGTGTAGTTTGGACCTGCCTCCCCAGAGCCGTTCCAGCACAGAGACTTATCCCCCAGTCGAACGGGCAGACGCAGTGTCTGTGTGCCAAGTCTGGGCTCCAGACCTTGGCGTCTCTTAGGACTCGGCTGCGGGTTTACGCAGCTCCCTAAAGCCTCCGGGGTCTCATGCCCCGCAGCACACGGAGGCAGGGGGCTGCTGGTGGTACTACTCATCTCCTGCAGGCGAGACCTGGTGTTTGCGATGCACTGTCCAGCAACTCGCCCATCATGCTGAACGCTTATTCCTTGGGAGGATGAGCAGTCTGGAAAAGTCCTGACTCTGGAGTTTCCAGCATGAGCATGAAGGGCCTGGAGCCAGGCCAGCCTTACCCGTGCTAAGTGCTCTCCTTTAACACCCGAGTTAAACACAGGCTGCAGACTGTGTGGGGTGAGACAGAAAGTTCCAGGACTGCTGGGGCTGTGCACAGGATATAAATCCCCAGGAGCTATTATTATTTACGTGTATCTCTCACTTTTCCCTGCCTGCCTCCCCCTTCTCCCGCCAGACAATGGAACCATCCAACAAAAGCCTTGGTGTTGAGAACGCCACGTGAACTGAAGCTGTGCCACTGTGCGTGCCCTTGCAGAGCCACGTGCAGCACTCCATGTGACTCGTTGTGATGGATGATTAGAGTAACGGGGCATAGATTTAATTTCTTTGGTTAGTCTTTTTCTCTTAAAAATGGAAGTTTTAAGGATGGAGACTTGTCTTACAAAATTATTATTCTGTACATTTGCAAAGAAATAAAAATCTGCCCTAAACCCCCGCCGCTCCATCCACCGGCACCCTCGCTTTGCTTTCTTCCCGGAGACTCTGCGAGGCTCTGTAGTAACACTTTTCCCAGTACTTCGTGGGGTTGGGCAGAGGAGTGTCGTTCTAGCTCCTCCAGTCGATACTCAGCTGTCTAATGCTCCTGTGAATACGCTGGCCCTGCCACAGGTTCCTGAGCAAGCTGTCGCCAACTCCTCAAGTTAATTTAAGGGGAATGTATTTAAAACCTCCCTTTCCCCAGTCCCCTGTG